ATAATGAAATTCATCCCCTACTCCATTTCCACAGAGATGACAAATTCGCTAATTTTTTGGTATCCCTGACCATCTTCCCGTTTCTATAGGAAATTTTGAATTTGAGCATCTGAGTTTTGCTATGTAAATCCTGTCACATGGCTTCAACTTTATCAAATAGGTTTCCAAACGAAAGTCCTGTTTGTATTCTGAATAAAATGCACATCTTGAAGAGTTATTCATTTGGGAAAACCAATGTTGGATAAATTGATCATTCAGTTGTCTTGAAATTATGTTCTTTAAACCCAGTTTATCCAATGGAAGTTGATCTTGCCAAATAAAACTAATTACATTTTCGTCAAATATGGATTTAACGTACACAATCCATTTAAATTTTGTGGGATATTGAAAATGTAATTTTAGCATTAATTAATACATAATGGAAGATAACTTGTTGTTCTCCAATAGTAAACTATTCCAAAACAACACCATTTTACTTTTAACACTAGTTTCCAAAGGGAATCTTCAGAGTTCCCTATACACCATATAATTTGGTGTACTGCTTCTTAATTTCAAAATGTGTTTGCAAAACTGAAGGTGTATTTTCTCAATGCTATCTTTACTTTCAAATCCCCATACCTCTGAAGCATAAAATTATACAGGACTAACTAGTGAGTCAAAAAGTTTTAGCTGCAAATCGACGGGAATACATATATTTTTAATTTTTCGGTACTGAGTATACAAAGACTTCTGTGCCTGATCAAGAAGATTTTTTCGTGCAGTACAAAAGCTACCGTTGTAATTGAAAAGTACACCAAGGTAGCAGTAAGAATCAAATATTTCAATGCTTTTTCCATATATAATAAAATTCTGAATATTTTTTACTTTCTTCTTACTTAAAATCACTGCTTTAGGTTTGTTCGTGTTAATCTTTAGTTTCCATTTTTTTTTTTACAGTATTCTTCAAAACATACAAGGATTTTTTGTAATCCTTCTGCACTTTCAGACAATAGCGCAGTATCATCTGTGTATAGTATAATAAACAATTTAACATACATTTGTAATGACTCCATGCGAAATATTACCTAGACTTTCTATATTATTTTCAACAAAATAATTTTCTAAATCATTTAGGAACAAAGAAAATAAAAAAGGTGATAAATTTTCACCTTGTTTGACTCCTGTGTGAGATATGAAAAATCGTTTCCTTTCTTTACGCATGTTTTTTTATTTAAGGAATGACTGTAATATGAATATGAAGAAATAACATCAAAAATGTGGTGCACACTGAATAACCCGTGTAGCGGGTTATTTTAAAGTGTGCACCACATTTTTTATGTTATTTCGAATAGACAGAAAAAATATTACAGTCATTTCTTATAATTTAATTCTAAATTCCATTTTAAACCGGAGTAAACCATGAAAAAACGTTGATGACGTCACGGTCACATGACAAAATTATGTCTATGAGCTGATAAACAAAACAACGTCAGCCAATCAGAAGACGCGTTACATCCAAAATTAAATTATATTTTGATACATATTATAAATCACTTTAAATATTTTAGCTTTAATGTTTGATTTTTGCATTTTTTGCCACCATCCCGATCTATATACAGTGTCAAAAGCGCTTTTAAAGTCTATAAAAGTGCAAAATAGCTACTTACCAAATGAAAAATTAATAGTAATTAAAGAATACACTACACATATATTATTAACAGTAGAGAATCCTCTACGAAAACCTGCTTGTGACTTTGAAAACAGGTGTACGTGATCTGCATAATTATTTAACCTGTAATTCAACATAGCAGAAAAAGTTTTACTAAAGCATAAATTTAATGTGATTACTCTGTACATTTCGGGATCGGATATTGATCCTTTATTTTTAAATATAGTAATCATGATTCCATTAGACCAACTGTCTGGGACAATTCCAGTATCAAAAATCAATTGAATAGCTTAACGTAAATTGGCATTAAATCGTCAATGTATTCTTTGTATATTCATATAAAATTTCATCACTACCTGAAGAATTGCCGTTTTTAAAATTCGAAACCACCTTTTTAATTTCTTCTTCGGTTACTGGACTATTTAAAAATAACTCAACATCGTCTGATATAGTACCAAAGTCAAAATCTCGTTCGGAGTCATGTGCTGGCTCGACATTTTCATTTAGGATTTTAAAATGATCATACAACGCTTTTAGAAATATCGTCATTGTTATTTTGTTTTACTACTATTTAGATTATTAAGGATTTTCTATAGAGCTTTTGTATCCGTTTTAGAAATGTTACGCAACTCTTCAGCAGCCCTCTGTTGATAGTTTACAAAAGCATTATTTATTATTTAATGTTATTTTATGTTATTTAATGTTATTTTATGTTATTTAATGTTATTTTATGTTCTTTACTAGCTTGTCTCATTTTGCGTCTGTTTTCAACGTTTTTCAAAAAACTTTATCTCTTTCGAGCTTTATGAAATTTGTTTCTACTCATCGAGCATTTTCTATTAAACCAAGGTTTTGAGTCTTCATGTTTGTAAAATTTTTTATGTTTTTTAATCTTCCCAAACGTTTCTGCCGCCGCGTTTTTTAAAATTTTTGCTGATATCTAAAACTATATTGTTTATATCATTTTGAGTTGCATCATTCTTTACGGACAATTCGTCCAGTTTATTCATAACAATGGCCAGAATACCTTCGGGTCTTTGTGAATTCGATCAACGTATTCAGATTTCTGTTCACTTTTCCACCTGATGAAAATTTTATCACTGCTATTGTCGGTAACAATTGAATCTGAGTTACTAAATGTGGCCTGAAGTCTGAAATGTATAAATGAATGACAATCAGAATATAACGGAATAATGTCAGCAATTTCAAAATAAAAAACCAGAGGAAATAATTAAATAATCAACAACACTTGAATCGTTACATGTTTTCTCCCCAATATCTTTATCTGGTCCAACTCTTGAATTAGCAATATATAAATTATTTTTTCTGCACAACTCTAGCAGTCTATGACCATACTTTTTAGGTCTACATGTACACTGAGACCCTCTTTGCAAGGTGATTTTGTGTTGAGTCAGATTCTCAAAATCATATAAATACTCTAATATATCAGCATCACAATTTAAAACAAACATACTAACAACTGACTCATCAGGTATATAATATAATAAGGTAAAGACTCAGTTTTTGAGTTAAAATCGCCAACTAGGGCAACATAACTTTTTTCAGTGTTGGTTAGGATATTCAATTCATTTTCCAATTCTTCAAAAGCTTCTATCGTAGAATACTTAGAATTTTCAGGTGGTACACAAACACAGCTAAAAATTACATCTGAATTAAGTGATAGAAGTGATTTCAAAATTTGAAACCATAAAACAAATTGACTCTCAGTATCATGAAATTTCAACCTTTTTTCTAAACTCTTTCTATAAATAACTACTATTCACTCTCGTAAAGATAATATGTTGTACGTGTAATTAAACCCAGGCAAACAAGTCTAACACAGTGCAGACAAAATACAAAGTGGTGTCCCTTGAAATATGGTGAATTAATTTCCATTCATTATTATTTTCAAATATTCAATTAAATCTTACAAATGAATTTTATAATAAGGTCTTAATGCATTTAAAATCTTTTTGTAATTCTGAAGTAAATTATTCATTTCCTCAAATATATTTTGAACTTGAAAATTTTCTATTTTACCATCTACAGAAAAAATAGATTTACATATATTTATTTCGTCTACAACACTCAGCTTTCGAATAGACATAAATGTTGTGCAATGAAAAGATAAACACAAAGAAATGTAAAAAAACTATTATGTCCCCCGTGACAAAATGTCGAGCGGGCATATTGATTTAGACCTGTCTGTCCATCCATCCGTCCATTCGTCTGTTTGTCCGTCCGGATATAGATACATGATATGTCTGCAATCTCCTCCTACAGTTTTTTAGCTACAGCTTTCATATTTTGTAGGATGTTTCTACACAAAATAGAGGTGTGCATGTCTACAGGATTTTGAATTTTTTTCAAATATTTTTAAAATGCCAGGTATTTGGACTTTTATGGTCATTTTTTGGTACTAGCTGCATATAGAGATCATGTTTTTTCGGCTATCTCCTACAGTTTTTGATATTTAACAGGTTTATTGTACACATAATGAAAGCGTGCATGTCCACAGGATTTTTATTTTTTTCAAATACTCTCAAAATGCCAGGTATTTGGACTTAGTCATTTTTTTTGGTACTAAAATCAGAAAGGGGTGGATGTTAGATATTCACAAAAACCGGTAGTTGGACTTGTTTTCCTTCTCACTTGCTATATAATTGAAAACATGATTTGCACTACTACAGGTTAATGTCCCTAATGCAATAAATAAGATTTTTTTAGTACTTTCAAATATTTATTCAATACCAGTAAAATGAACTCGGTGATCACTGGAAATAGAAAGTTAAACTTGGTGACTACTAAAACTTGAAAGTTGAAACCTTTTGGTTGGACATTCAGTCCTGCAAGTGTAGACATTCAGAATAAAAATAAAAGATAGATCATCATACATAGTATTAAATTTATAATGTCTTATGATCAGGCGGGAGCATCATTTGTGTCTTACAGACAGCGCAACAATTTCCAGTTGTACTTCAACATCACTGTTTGTCAAATCTAAAGTATGTAGAACTATACTCATGTATATCACAGAGCAGAGGGGGGCATCCATATCTAGTTTGTTTTTATCATTCAAAGGAAAATTTCAACAAAGTTTCAACTGGCCCGAATAAGTGCTTCTATATCTGTAAAAGCAATGACTTGTCATCTCTGAGTCAGAAAAAATGTGTCCGGATAAGGCTTTATGATACCTTGTGAAGTAGCACTCAGATGTTTTGCGCCGAACGTTTGGTTAGTACACAGCATACTTTAATTTTTTTTCTTGTGCTTATATGCATGATATATTTCCGATTGCATTTTAAATACAATTCAGTCATCATCATGAATATGGGCAACTGGTGCTACTACCAGAATACCAGTTGTTATCTGCTAGAATCCAAAAGCTGAAAGGCTCCATTTAGTTACAAGGTAAATAGATGTAGTAATCTTGATTACAATGAACTTGTGTACAAAGTGTCAGTATAGTGCAAGAAAATTGTCAGAACTAGTACTGCATTACAGGTTTAATCATCAACAGGAACATGATTTCCAAATTTCCTGTCAAGTACACAATTGTGCCAAAACATTTAAGTTAACAGAATCCTATTTGAAACATGTAAAAAGAAAACATAAGGATTTTCACGAGGAACATTTTTCAAGAAGGAAACAGTTCTGCCGGGAACCAGATACACTTTCTTCTCTTCATGAATTTCAGAATGATCACGATAATCATTTTATGGACCATGATGGTGATCCTGTAGAAACTGATCAGTATCAGGCAGAAAATGTAATTAATTTTAAAAGAAAAATGGCATTATTTTTACTAAAATTAAGGGAATGTAACAAATTACCATCAAATGCAGTCTTGAATGTGGTAAAAGAAATGACAGAAACTCTTTGTTATCATCATGCTGAGGTGTCGGATAGTATTTTAAAACATTTAGGTGAAAAGGGCATAGACAGAGACTTGATAGATAGTGTTAAAGATGTTTTTAATTGTCAAACACAAACTGAAGAGGCTTGTAATGAACTTAATACAGAGTACAAGTTGAACAAATATATAAGGGAGCATTTTGGATTTGTTAGCCCTGTACAGTACAACTTATCTAATCATCGGACTTCTCGTAAGAATGGAAAATACCAGTATGTGCCAATTTTACAAACTCTGAAAAAATTACTTGAGCATGATGATGTTTTTTCATTTGTCATGAACAATCATCAATCCAGTAATGGTATTTTTAGGGATTATTGTGATGGGGAGAACTATAAAAAAGTGAACTATTTGAAACGGATGCCAAATCTTTGCAAATAATACTTTACTATGATGACTTTACCGCTAGTAATCCAATAGGAAATAAAGTAAAAAATTTCAAACTTGGTGGATTTTATATGCTTTTGGGTAATGTTCCCCCGAAATATAGATCTCAACTTTATGTTATACAATTAGCAATTCTTTGTATGTCAAGTCTTATAAAAACAGAGGGATTTAGTGCTGTTATTGATCGTCTACTGCAAGATTTAAAATTATTAGAAGAAGAAGGTATTACTATCATGAAGTCTGATGGTGAGCATAGGTTATATGGGACAGTAACAGCAGTTATAGCAGACAATCTTGGGGCACATGCAATTGGAGGTTTCCTCGAGTCGTTCAATTGTTTAAGGAACTGTCGTCATTGTTTTGTTACAAAGCAGGACATGCAAACGATGTTTTCATGTAATGATTTTACATTAAGAAGTATTGCTATGCATAAAGCCCAGTTAGCTAATGTAGCTCAAGATTCAACCATGTCATCAGTTTATGGAATAAAAACTGACTCTCCATTAAACAGTCTAAAATATTTTCATGTTGCGGAAGGGATGCCCTCAGATTTAGCCCATGACCTTTTTGAGGGTGTAGTTTGTGAAGTTATGACCAACACTATTGGCTATTGTGTGAGGGAAAAATTCTTTACATTAGAAGAACTCAATAATATTATTACAAAATTTGAATTTTGCACTATAGACAAAGCAAATAAACCAACAACTGTTCGAATCAGTTGCGAAACTTGAAGGTAAAGCAAACTGCAGCTCAGATTTGGTGTTTTGCCCGTTTTTTGCCTTTAATGGTAGGTGATAAAATTCCTTATAACAATCCGAAATGGAAAACATTTCTTTCACTTAGAGATCTTTTATTTTATGTGTGTGCATCAGTTCTTGATAGAGGACATATCATGGTAATGCAAGATATAATTGAGGAGTTCCACGAATATTATCGGGAAAACTTTCCAGAAGAAACAGTGAAACCAAAATTTCACTATACATTGCATTACCCAAAACAAACTTTAGATTTTGGACCTTTAATTCATTTACAAACCATTCGATTTGAAGGTAAACACAATTATTTTAAAGAATTAGTGTATAGAACCAAAAACAAGAAAAACATATGCAAATCCTTAGCTGAACGTCATCAGTATTACCAATGTATCTTCAATGTTGCTACAATTTTTTTCGACTCGGGGCAGATTGAAACAACAGACGGCAATCTGCTTCCAATGTGTTTGTTGAGGACGGAATTTCGTCAAGCTTTACAAGTTCATGTAGGTGATGCATTGGATGTATTTGGATCTAAATCCATCGATTTCATGGGCATTACTTATCGCAATGGGGAATGCATTGTAAGCGCACAGCAGGATGGACATTTTATTCAGTTTAGTAATGTTAAACATTGTTTAGTGATTGCTGGTGCCCCATACCTATTATGTACAAAAATGTCAACCATTGACTTTGATCGACACTTTTATGCCTTCATTGTTGAAGATTCGACTGCATGTGAAATAATTAAAATATCGGATTTAATTGAACCACATCCATTTGGAGTTTACTCACATCCTACTATAAACAATTCATCAGTTGTTATTATGAAGCATATGGTACATGTACCTTAACTTCCATAGAAAAGTAAGATTTCGTTATTTTGCTGTTGAGTAGTTTTGACCAGTATTGATCGTGTTGATTGCTGTTATTGTTATGTAGTAAAACAGCACATTTCTGTAACTGCCAGTTTAGTTATAAAGTAGATATTTACTCTTTGTAGGACTGCCGAAAATTTCTGTCATTCATCTAACTATGCAAGCATAAAAGCATTATAATTTTTTTCAGAAATTGGCTTAAAATAGAAATCATTTTGTTTACTTTCAAACTGAACATAACTTGTACCTTAAGTCTTTTTCTGGCATCTATCAAATATAAATGTGTAGGCACTTACTAGTATATAATGTTTTAACAAATTGTATACATGGTATAAATATATGTATGAAAATGTTTATTTAAATTGAAATATTTTTTTTTACAGGTCATTGATTTGAATTGAATGCACCATCATTACCATGGAGCGAAAGTTTTTGTTATTAAATTATGGTGAAAGAACAAAAAAAAATATCTGTGACTAATGATTTAAATGTAAATTTTATTCAAGAAAATGTTCAATCAAAATTTGGTTTGAATGATCATGATGTACATCTCCAAATTTTAGACAATGATGTAGGAGAGTACATCGACTTGGATTCAAATGAAGATATAAATTTAGAATTAAATATAATCAGAGTAAAAATAACAAAGGCATTTGTAAGTGCGGATTCCCAAGAAATTCCAAGAACAACAGCTTGTACTCCCTTTACGTTGCCAATTGTGAATGAATCAACAGAATCTTTCAGTACCTGTACATCACCAGTACCTACATGTACATCTACATGTATCAACTTGAGCAGCCCATCTAGACAAGTGCCTACATCTAGCAACATATTCACGAACAGCCCATCTGGAGTAGAGATTATTGGTAGTGATGTGCCGACCACAAAAAAACAGATAACACGGTGAGATTCAATGGTGTATTTTTTCTTGTAAAATATTATACTACATTAATTGTTATATTAAATTTTTAATATGGTATAGTTTTAAAGAATATTGTGTTGTTGATTATTCATAGTGTGGACCATTGTTTATCATGTTCAAACTATCAGTACTATGTTATACAATGAAATAATTTGCATTGAACATGTAAATCAATCTTTGGTTGATCTATTTAGACTGGTTTATACTATTATCTTTAATTAATGTTTCTGTAATCACCGTCCACAGTCAAAAAGTAATGAACAAATCTTTAAGTGACGTGTACAGTATAAAGGAACTGATCGCCATATTATTAATTTAACAAGGGTTCATTTATTATTGTTTTTAATACACCTTTTATTTTGGTTTAGGAAACAATGGCCTAGAATTTACCACTTTCCATCTGCCAGTGCACCTAGGGCATTATATATCAAAATAGAAAGAAAAGAACCTCTTGAAAAATCAGACAGAAGTCGACTGCTGGATACAATTTATAACAATGTAACGCAGTTTGAAGGTGGTCTGTAAGTAATAACATGTAGAATAACCGATGTTTTCTTTTTAAAATGAATATTATATGTGGTTCATGTATGATTGGCAATGAGACAACTCTCCAATAATAACAGGTAATAAAAAAAAACATGTGTCTAGGTCTTACATTATTGACTGGAATTTTGCTTTAATACTACTAGTATTTTTTTAAGGAAGGATAAATTCTGAAACACAAAATTTACATTATACACAGGTTTCCTGGTCATAGACCAACTTCCTTAAATCAACAGATCCAAATTCTTGGGTTGAGAAACTTTTATCCAAAATTTTGGGTGGGTTTCAATTTGTCATAGGAATAAAATCTGGGAAAAATATGTACTTGCAATGATATGTGAATTATTTTTTTCAGCTACCCCTCATCAGACATGTATGACCAGATAGTGGACGGGATTCTTATGGAATTTCCCATGCTTATGCAAGAAAGTGGAACACCTCTTTAGTCTGTTAGAGTAAGTTTGAAAGAAATTGCTTTTCATATACTATGATATATATCTCATGAATTCTGAAATGCAAAAGAATAATATATTCAAGACTTAGAAAGTTTTCAATTGTCAAAAAGAAAGAAGAAAAGTTTCTTTGGAAAAAAATTTACATGTTTAATGGATATTCTCATTGTTTATGTTTTTACTAGTAATCTACTTCAAGAATATATGATATTAGAGTGTAGCCTGAATATATGATATCCACCAAGTAGATTTTTCAATTTTTCTTGTGATGTCTTTACATAAGTTTTCACAATGTAATCTTGTATGTTTGTAGTAAACCTAAAATACTGTGAAATTAAAAAAAATATCTCTCCTTTCTTGATGTGACATTAAATTTAGAATTACTATCTACTTTTAAAGGTCTATTGGAGAGAGAAATTAAAATATAAATGGCAGAATGAAAGAAAATCAAAAGATAAAAATCTCCCAGAAGTAAAGGCAAAGAAGAGGAAGGTAACGACCGAGTTGAAAGATGATATGCCAAAAGCCAAGAAAAATTTGACATGGGGAATGTCGAATTATTTGCCGATGAGGCCAGATTCGGAAGATTTGGAATCCATAAAATTGCACAAAACTTGGCTAAAGCAGGAGTACAGAAAAGTTGACCAAGATTTTAGACTGGTTGACTTGAAAATGGGCCTGACATTTCCTGACAGAAGAAAAGATATAGTTCAAGATGGAAATATTTTATCAGAAATTATTAAAGAATATCCATTTTTACAAGACAGAAGACAGGTATTATGTATTTCAGAACTTTATTGTAATGATCAAAACACGGAGTAATGTTCTGAAATCTTGATTTTGAGTTATTTCCTTTTTTTTGTTTTGGTATTAATTTTTTTTTATTTTCTCTCAACATTTATGTATAAAAAGTTTTTAAGACAACCATAACTTTGACAATCCGTCATTGAATTTTAAGAAATTCATTGCTATTTTTAGACACAATATATCATGTATGTACTATATATATTTATTTATATTGTCTGCCTTAATTACAGTTACTTCAAGAATTTGCCAGACTAGGACCTAATACAGAAAAAAAAGAATTGGAAGACCTCTTTTTTGATGGTTTGGATTCGTACAGAGAAGTCATAGTGAAGTTATCCAAAGGGAAGAAGCTGCATCAATTTGAAAAAGAAATTTATGATTTAATAGCTGTACAAAGATCTGATGACCAGAGAAAATGTAAGTTTATTATTTTATTAATGTGTTTCTCTAGTTGAAACATAATTTGTTGGTACAACTATAGTATTTTTTAAAAATCTTTTTGTCTTTGGTATGTTTAATCTAGCTTCCTTTGAACTGATCCCTTAAATTGTGGACTAGCATGTTAAAAAAGGACTCAGTGTGTCAGTCTAGTACAAACCAAAGTTTATATTCATATCACATTAGCATGTTCTGATCCTGAATATGCATCTAATTTAACAGCCATCAATAGATCTATCAAAACAAAAACACTAGAAATGAAATTTTTATAAAAATATAAAATTATATAAGGCATATACATGTATAATCTGACTATTAAATAGATGATATAGAATTAATATTACATCTACTGTGGTATATGAAAGATAGTTTTTATATTAATTTTAATATTTATTATTAAATGACTGAATTTTCTGTTTAATTTCTCATTAGCTAAAAGAAATCCTTTTTGATAAAACGTTAAATTCACTGCAGCAAAAATCAAGAGAGGTTAACAATTCTGTATTTCGGAAAAAACTGGCAATGCTCGATAAAACTTCGCCCTTCCCCAGTTTTTCAGCCTCATACAAAAAAGTTTATATTTTTCTGACATTGACCTAATATCACTCATATATATATATATATAGTACAGAATGAGTGTATTTTTGTATACTACAACTGTATGATGTTATATTTGTTGTTTCAGACACAAGTCAGTGCGCAGCCATCTTAGGAATTGCATTGCTTTTGAAGGAGAAGTTCAATCAGATCCTGTACTTCAGTGATTCCGAAGAAACAGAAGAACCATTTCTTCTGATAATCAAAGACAGAATTTTAAGTATGGGGAATGACCTATTTGAACTGAAGGTAGATGGGGATGTGATATTCAGATGTGACACTTTTCTTGAATTAATAACTGGATTGATAGCTTCAATTTATTGTTTCAATTTAGTCTATCCAAAACCTATTGAAAAATCATTGTTGTTTATACAAAATTGTATCATGAGTTTAAATGATGGTGGGAAGGTTGATAAGAAGATTTTATCAGTAATAACAGAATTAAACAGAGAGAAAACTAAAACATTAAATTAGTATTTGAATTTTATGAGATACTGTAAAGATGTCTGGATCAAAGGATCATCTGTTGTCTTCCTCATTTTTCTGATGTAATATCACAAAAGTCACACTTGCATTGGTTAATAATTGTGTTTTTTTCTTCAATTCTATTTGACATTTTTGTAATCAATTGCAAAATATTGAAGCTTGAATCTGGATTATAAAATTTAGAATTAAAACAAAAATGAAACAAACAGATAGATTTAAAGAAGAGTAGGTAAAAGTTATCCCTATGCCATCCTTTCGGTTAGGTGTAATGATCCTACCACTATTGGAAAAGGCTGGGTGAGCTTTTGAGATAAAGATAATAATGAACAAGTTTTTAGAATTGCCCAAAAAAAATATGAATTCTAATACATATCTTTCGATAATGGTTAAATATCGCTGAGAGTAGGATAAGTGTATTTCCTATAGCTATTGATGAGGTTTTGATACTAATAAGAGGATCATTATGTATTTCCTCCTTTTTTTACTTTATCGGTTATTGGTGTAGCAGTTATCAGTTATTAGTGTAGCCATAATCAGTTATTAGTGTAGTTGTAATTAGTTGTTAGTGTAGTTTTTGTTACATTGTTAGAATTTTTTTTTATGTCAAGAAGTGGTGTTGAGCAGTTTTTAATTACCTCATTTGATATACATGTAGTTCACATTTTAAAAAGAATTACCAGATTACTAGTGCCAATATTTTTGTATTTTGTATTTTTTAATTATTTTTTTAGAATTATACATACAGTTATAATATTAGATTCAACTTGTAGTATTTTGTATACATATTGAATAACAATTGTTCTGAAATTGTTTGTGATTAGTCATGAAAGTCAAATTTAGATAATTTGTCATTGATACCAGCCTGGCCCATAATGTTTTTTTTTTATTTACTGTTAAATGTAAATTCTGTAATGTTAGTAGCACTGAAACTGTTTACAATATAGAAATGCATATATCTTTTTTTTAAGTTTGTCATTGATAAGATATTTTTACTGTTTTTCTGGGTATCCTGCATGTGACTTGCTTATTAATAGATTATATCATAATTATGAGAATTTGTAGTGTTCATTTTTTTTAAAGAAAAAAGTGTAAAATTGAATAGATGTTTCTGTCTAGTTTTATGTATATAGTTAAGGTTTATAGGTTTATCAAATACAAAGGCCATCCCAAAGAAAGTTTGTCACAACACAAGCTCTTTTAGAAGAAAGGGTTTGGGTGTTTATTTTTACCTTTCTCTTTTTATCAAGTGACTTATAATGGAATTATAGCATATCTCAACTTAAATTTTGAATACCCCAACATGATTAAAATACTGAAAAATTCATTAACGCAAGTGCTTGAGTTATGAGCAGTTATCAGTGTTGTCTAGATCTCACACTTTTGTATGGAAAGTGCTGCTACACATAAATTAAAGGATACAGGTTAGATTTTTTTTATTCAAAACCGTAGGCATATTATATAGGTAATCGTTTTTATTCAATGAACTTGGTGTGCCTGTTTAGTAGTGTAGATAAATGTTAATAAAATGTTTAAACCTGGAATATTTCTATGCATGCCTTTCTCAGTGTGTAATGTTTAACTTGACTGATGTCCTTAAACATAAATAAATGTATATCAATTGATTTTTTTGTTGTCTTACTGCCTTGTATGACTATCAAAAACTGCAAAATATAACAGAAATTGTCATAATATAGCATATCTTTAGTATTGGGGTAGCAAAATTAAAATCAATATTTCAGCTTGGTCTTCTTTTCGAGGGTCTATCACGAAATCATTTCCAGTAAAGGTTACACACCTGTAACAATGTTTTAGAGGTATATAGGAACCGACCTGTTTAATGTGCCTTGCTATTACAACGCCTCCAAAACAGCTAGATGAACATTGCATCAAAGTTTAAGGGGTATATACATTGTAGAAATCACACAGTCTGTCTGTCCATGTTCATTGCAAGGAAAGCTCCAAAATGCTTCAACTAAACTGATGAAACTACACAATTGTTGAGCACTACCTATAAAGATGTGCATAAGGAAATAAGTTGGATTGATAATAGTGAACTGTATGATTTAACAGCTGAGCAATAATCTTACTAAAAAAACAGTAAGATTCACTAATTATACCAGTTAATTGTGAAATTGCTTCAGTAAAAATAATGCATTCAGTAGTAATATATACCGAACCTTCTAGTAAATTTAACTAGTCATGATAGTTAATCTCATTGTGTTATCTTGTTATTATTACTTGTTGGTTAGTAAATGATTACTGACATAGGCAGTAAAAAACACTAGACCTACTAGTAGAAATTTACTAGTTCAGATAGTAAATCTACTAACCCACTGGTGTTTGAATGGACAGTAAAATTTACTACCTTTAATAGTAAATTTTACAAGCTATTTTTTTCAGTGTATGCACTTTCATAATAACAAGAAATAATGTTAAATTAAATCATTTTCTATTATTTAATTTTAATATCATAGTCCTTTAAGAAATTTCTTAACTGGTTTTCGATTTCTTTGATCGGTTAATCTATATTTTTCTCAAGTAACCACTTGACGGCTTTGTATAAATCAGGACTTCGCATGGTTGTGGTTCAAAGTGTGTCCTGTTACAGTGTCCATTTTCACTTATACAAATTAGCCGCTAGCAACATTAACATTTTAATGAAGTATGTGTACGTTTCTAATCAAATTTAAATATTTTGGGGTTTCATAAAATATTTCTTACCAAATACATATGTATATGTTTCCATATATCCATTAGCGTCACATTTTGGATAAAATAAGGAGATCTGGTTGCAAATGATCCTATTCACCTGTGATCAATGTGTTAATTTCAGGAAATCTATCGTAGTAATAATGAATTTTTAGAGAAAGTTGAAAATGTTCATGAAGGTCGCCTTCTTCGTCTACACATCCCTTAAACCCTGACCTCGACGAGAACTTTGAACTTTGCGTTCAGTATTACTTTATTTAAAATATTGCTTTAAGTGAAAAAAAAGTTCACAGTGTAGGAAAATTTAACTGACAAACAATGTCATTGCAAAAGCAACGCATATTTGTTATAAATACTTAAACCGTATTAATCAGATACTGAATTTTCAATAGTATTTTTAACCGCTTTGTGTTTTTGTTAATGTAATCATCATGTAAATGGTACTGATAATGCTATATTCATAACTTCGACTATTATTTATGAATATAAGTGTCACTATAAAGCCTTTTTTATTTTACCTAACTTGTGAATGTAAAGACTGTTCATTTCTTACTGTTTATTATTTGACAATCTGATTTGCATTTATGGATATTTGTGGAATAATCTGACCAATTCCTTGGTAGCTGTCTTTGATTTAATCCTGTTTTTCTGTTGTGGTTAACAGCATATGAGTTAATATGCTCGATATTAACTTCATCAAAATAGAATGATGCCAAAATCATACTTCAGGTAACATAAAAAAAAACATTATTTAACCGTTGCTAAGCACTATTTTGGTTGCTAAATATTTGATTAGCATGATATACTATTGAATTACTTTCATTTCTTACTGCTCGTTATTCTTATAAACCAATCTGATCTGCTTTTACTCTAATTTGTACAATAAAAAAACAAATGTATTTTTGTAATTAAATTTAATTTTATCTTTTTTGGCTGTTGCTAGGCAATTTTTGGGTTGCTATGCTCAATATGAAATTCTTAAAATAGAATAAAGGTGACTCAGAAATCATATATGAACGAAAAATCATTTATGGCAGCTAAATCTTCAAACATTGCTATATTTATACCTCATATGGCAGAAATTACAAATTTTTTAACCGTTGCTAGGCAATATTCTAGTTGCTAGGTTGTTGCTAAGCATTTATTAACTGAAAATGAAGTGACTATTCATTTGCAACTTCAAGTTATTGTTAAACAAGCAACCTTATTTTAAATTATGCTAATTTGTAATGAAAAAGCAATGCATAAGTGATAATTTGTCTATTTAATAAAACCGTTGCTAGGCAACCTTCCTTTCACCGGAACACAAAAAAAAATCATCGTTTTGTCTAGTTTCTATACAAAGGCTATCAATGATCTATATATAAACTTATTCGGGAAGGGGGCCAAAAACGCCCCTTATCATACCTTGTCCTTTCATTAATGCATTCATTCATTCACTGTCATATATAAAATTGATAATTTGATTATGATAATTAAGAACATATAGTTATGATTAAGCAATATTGTCAGTAGTTAGGTAATATATTAAAATATGGGCGTATTACGTTTCCGCATTTATAGCAAAAATCCAGTTTCACGTTTCCGCATTTTCGTGCATTACTTTTCCGAAATAAATAGATACCACCTTTCCGCATTTTTACCTGTATTTCACCTGTAAAAAAATGGTAATAATGATATATAAGACTTTATTTTATTATAGTATTTTTTCTTAATTTGTATTTTATTATGATAATATAATTCCTTCAACAGGTAGATTATATTCTTTACTTGGGTAAATGATCAAGAAACAGGTATCATTATTTTCTCATGTTCAGTTAATTTAGAATGTCTTTGTAGTGAAATGGAGGATATTTTTATTGACGGAATTTTCAAGTATTGTCCAAAGTTTTATTATCAATTATACTCAATATATGGGTGTCTAAATGGCAATTATATTCCACTTGTTTTTTGCTCTCCTACCTAGAATTTCCTAAATGCTTCTTGCCAACAGAGAAATTTAGTGCTCTCTCCGAAAGCAATACATATTGACTTTGAACAGGCCATGCACAATGTTGTAAGAGTAATTTTTCCTAATGCAGATATAAGCGGCTGCAGATTCCATCTAGGTCAAAGTTGGTGGCGTAGAATACAAACTATTGGACTAAGTACCGAATATAAAGAAAGGTCAAGTGAAGTAGGGAAATGGCTCAACCAGTTCTTTGGACTCGCCTTCTCATCACCAGAAGAGATTGAGGATTGTTTTGTAGAAGACATTATGGCAGTTACTCCACAAAACGAAAAATGTTTGAAATTTTGCTGACTACATCCTAGAAAACTACATTGCCGCTGATTCTAAGTTTCCACCGCAAATATGGGCATCTCCTCCCGACACAGAAGCCAAAAGAACCACAAATGGGCCGGAATCGTTTCATTCTCATTTTAACTCCCAGTTCAATGCATGTCACCCAAGTATATTTATCTTTATGGACGTTTTGCAGTGGATCCAAACAACAACTTACATCAAAATTCGGTCTTTATCAGCAATAGCACCAGTTCGTAAAAATGACCGCGAACGAATTGAATTCGTATCCGAACAGTTTGTCAAGTATGGTAGAGAAGAGATTACGAGGTTAGACTTCATAAAGTCAGTTGGCTACAAGTTTTCCGCTTTGACAAATATGGAAACTGTGCTACATGTACTGTATAATAGTATACTGACGTTTACTGTTTTATCTGTATATATAAACTTTTAGTGCTGAACATTGACTTTTAATTGATATATGACCATGTATAATTTTTATCATTTTAAGTTGATAGTTTCATTTTAATCATAAGACTTATCCTGCTCGAAGTCCTACTTAGACCTCCCCGTTGGTGAGCAGGGGGCAACAGATTTACCTGGCAAATAGAAGAGGCATACATTAAAAAAACGGAAATGTAAATAACCTTTAACAAAATCAATGTAAAAACAATGCGGAAAAGAGTACTATAAAAATGCGGAAACGTAGGAATTTTAATGCGGAAACGTAGTACCAAAATGCGGAAACGTAAAACGCCGTAAAATATGTCGCTCAATGTCCACACTGAGTATTTCATAGTGCGTATCAAAACATGTTGATTAAAAGTTATGGATAAGAAATGTAAAAAGAAACCGAAATACAAAATAAATAAGGAAACACAATAAATTTAACTCCAGAAAGTCAGAATTGTGAATTATAAGTAAAATTTCCAAAATGATAAGAGCATCATTATATTGTATGATAACTCTAAAGATTCTTTAAATGTGGTTTAAAATAACCTTTAACCGGTACTGTGAAAATATGGACTTTGTGTGTATCTTAATAGCATGAAACTGCTTGATTCATATGTTACTCCGTGGAAATAGCGACCACGCTTGTAATATTTTTCTTAAATCTTTAAATTTATTCTTATAATAGTTTGAGATAAATAACAGCTTTCAGATTGAGATACATTGTTAAGTAGCAACATGCCGACAGTTCTCAACTATACATTACATGTAACGGCGTTAATGATAGCTTATGCTATATATAAACTCTTTTTCCTTTCTGATAGTACGTCCGGCCGAATTTTTATATTTTCTTATGCCCACTTGCTTTTTCTCAACCGTGATGTTTTTAAATTGATAGTTGCATCCATAGAAGTAATCGCCTGAAGGAAATCCAACTTTCTTTTGGTAAACAATATAACCTACAAACTGGAAAAAATAATCTTGAAATAAGTTTTTAAAAATGTAAAATACTAATTAAAGAAGTTAAATGATCTGCTGCAACATGTATGTATCAACCTACCGTAGTACTCAGAGCCTGTTATGAGAGCACCGATGTTGACACATTGATGATGATGCAAATGATGAAGATGGATGGCTGTTTAATAGGTAGTGACAAATCAAATGCAAATGCTGGACGAGATAATTTGTATGTGATATCAACCATGATTTGACACATTGGACTCTGATTAAAACTAATAAGCAAAGTTACAAGGTTACAGACCACAAGAAGTCGCATTATTCTGAATCTGAACCTAACATTTTTACATTTTTTTTCCGGCTTCATAACGTGTACTCAGCAAAAATCTGCACATATCAATTTGCGTTTGTTTCACTCCGACAGCGATAAATCCCGAGACTTCCGACACACAAACAGCATCTGGATATGGACAATAAATAAGCGTAAATATAAAACTGTTGAAAAATCGAGATAAATAAAATCCCTGAATTGCTTTAATCATACGAAATTAGGCAACCTGTGCCCTTCTGTTTGATCTCCGTTTCTAAAACTGGTTTAAATAATCAATACATTTTTTGATATTCCTTCAAACATTTTTAACATAAAATGCTAATTTTATTTCAGCATTAAGTGGTGTTATTTTATATACCACTGTCCCAAATAAGGGAAGGGTTGAGGGCTTAAAATGTTTAACCCAACCACATTCTTTATGCCCCTGTCCCATGCCAGAAGCCTGAAATTCAGTGATTGTTGTTGGTAACTCTTTGTGATATTTGGTTTGTATCTATTGTAGTTTAGAATCAAATTATTGGTTCTCAAATTTGATTTATTTAACATGTTGCCATGTTAATGCCTTTTAAAGAGTACTTTTCAGTATGAGTTTGCCTATTGTTGAAGTCCGTACGGTGACCTATAATTCAAACCATCTTTGTCATTTCAAGTTTGGTAGAGAGTTGTCTCATCGGATATAATACCACATCTAATTGTTTCAATAAACAACGCGGTATTTGTATTATCCAGAACTCCAACCAAATGCTTTTTTTCCATTTTACAAGAAAAATGAAATGTATAACATTGTACAAGTTCAGATGTAGCAGAATACTGCGAACTATGTAAATTTGAAATATATATTGTTTCTCCTTATCAATGATGAATTATAAAATTACCTTCAGTATTCCTAATATTCCATTGGAAAGGCAATAAAAGAATCCATCGATCTGTCTTATGTCACTTGGTGACAAATACATTCCAAGAACCGAACAACTTATTATGCAGGTAATTCCTATCAAATAGAAAATGTTGAATCATCACTATATTTTTTACGGTTTCAAATCTATGAGTTTGAGCGAAAAGATGTTTGACTAATTTCCCTTAATTTGTTTCACTCACCAAGTCACAATCCGAAAGACGATAAAACCTTGTGTAATTGAATACCAATGAGTGTAACCGATATACTGTTATGATAATTTAAATACTTTTAACAAACACACCAAAACAAAGAATCTAATCATTACAGTACAGTGTCCTTGATATTGCAATGTTAAAAGTTGCAAATTGAATATATTGTAATGTATACATTTTGCTACTGATCCCCTACAAAGGCCAAACCGCTATGCCTCTCTATAAATCCGTAGGGGGTCAGTAGCAAATCGTATAAAGAATTTATCTCCCTCTATTAAATCACCACGTAAAGGGGTTAAACCAATCGCAGCGTCACTAACTCACCTGAGATGTTATAATATAAGTGAGAGGGTATGCTACTGACCCTATATGGATCACGGCATAGAGGGTATGTTTAATCCATAGGGGTGAGCCGTAAGGGTTTAGCAGTACAACGATTTATCGCACGCGGCATTTTTTCTGGCAAGTTTTGTAAAACAAACAAAAAAGAGCGAAATACAATTATAACACTTATAATGTGACGTCATGATACCCATACCTACGGATTCATAGGGGTTTATTACGTGACGGAGTTAAACCAATCATCTAAATCAACTAAATCACCCGAGGTGCAATAATGTTTAAAATATAGTTTTTCTTACCTACAAAGCCTTCTAACAGTATCCATACCCAGTGGAAACAGGGACAAAAGCATAACCCCATACAGCATCGGATAATTTGTCGCCTGATACAACAATTGCAACATACATAGAAGCAAAAACATATATGAGGAAGAATTATGTTGACCGTAATGAACTGGAAGAAGATACACTGCGCCTGTGTATAGGAAAAGAATTCAAACGTATATTCTCCTAAAAATAAAAATAAAAAATACTTGCAATGGCATAAAATGGAACGATTTTTTTATGCTAATGGGGTATCTCTATATCAATAAACTCATCAGATAGTAGGATTAAAATAATGTACACTAGACGCTGTTTATACTACTGAAATATGGTAACTTTTCAAGCTAGGACCAGTAATTGTTGTATTCAAGCAGTCTACACTATGAACTTTTCAATCTGCGGAGCTCAATTTTTGGACAATTTTAGTTAGATTTTGTTGGCCTGTAGATAAGATTTTACAGGCCCGAGAGCAATTTTACATGCCTTGGCCACTGGGCATGTGGTTCAGCGTGAAGACTGTTTAAGGGGTATTAGATTTCAAATTCTTGTTCATCGATTCGACCTAAACATTTCGTATGTTATTTGAAACATACTGAAACGTGTATTCAAATTACAAAACGTCTTATATTAGAGAAACAATTTCCAATGCATGTATTTTATTACCAAATATGAGTGTAACAATCGAGATGATGTCCGAAGAATACCGTAGGTCACATTACGCGATGTTGACATAAATATAAATATGAAAACACAGGCAAGCACCGCCAATCGTATAACAACGATTTTTGTAGGTCTGTTTGATTTCATATCATGGATAAGAAAACAATTCAAATCATCGTTTTACCTGTATTCGAAAGTTTTTGTGGTTAGATTCAGTCAACGAAGGGAATCACTTTCTCGTGTAAGTGTTCTTTTCTTCTCAATATACGTTTGATCGAAGTAAAACAAGAAGATAATTAGTTCCGTTTTGTCTCTGCTTGAAAGGAAAAACATCTTTTCGTCGGAATAATATTTAAATGTAAATGTATCTCTACTCACCCATACTTTTCGTTGAATTTGGCAAAATATCTTCATTTTCCGGCTTAAACGTACAAGATTTGCTAGAGGGAAGTAATCTGCAAAGATCTGACGTATCATTCCTTTGGTTAAAGGGATCTAGCTTTAAAAATCCAAATAATTCTAAGGAAAAACCTCCCCCAACTAAAGCAAGTAGAACAAACGGTAGACAGATACAGTTTCTGCTGTCGCCTTCCGACTTTTGTTCGTTCTCATTTGACTCCATGTTAGAACAGTAAGTATAATTGTCATATATTAATAAAATGTATTTAAATTGTCTTAAAAAAGATAGTGCATTCATCCGTACAATCAAAAGGAAATAAAAAAGCATTTGATGAAGTCAGTCTTTCAGCGGAATACTTCCCTGTAAAATTAAAAAATAAAACAATATGAATACAATTTTTTTCACAAATATTTGGTTTCTTGTTAATTGTCATATTAGTCATTTTTTTTATTCCACAAAGATGTAGCATTTACCAGGGCTTACAAATATCATGCTGTATCTTTTGTGATAAGGGAAATTTGACCCTGAACAGATAAGAAAAATAAATTGGCTTACATGATAAGTTTCTGTGTCAGTTCAACAATAATAAACGTTAATAATGACATATCTGACCGATGTCGACAAACATACTAATACTTGATAATTTCATTGCTCCTGATATTTATTGAACACAAACTGCACAATACATCGAATCGGATCAGGAAAACGAGTCATTGCTTATGTTCAAAAGTAAAATAACAAATATACATTATTGTCAATGTAATGGGGGAAAAAGTAAAATCACAAAAAATACTGAACTCCCAGGAAAATTCAAAACAGAAAGTCCCAAATCAAATGGCAAAATCAAAAGCTCAAACGAATGGATAACAACTGTCATATTCCCGACTTGGCACATCATTTTCTTATGTAAAATGGTGGATTGAACCTGGTTTTATATCTAGCTAAACCTTTCACTTGTATGACAGTCGCATCAAATTCCATTATATTGACAATGATACGTGAACAAAACAAACAGACATAATAGGTAAAAATGTCAAAAATAGGGGTACAGCAGTCAACATTGTGTCATAATCATAACCACAATAAAAACAAACAAATATTTAACAAAGAAGCACAAAAAATCATATATCAAATTTAACAACCTCGTTCATTGCTTTTTTTATTTTAGTATTTTATTTATGTATGTTAAGTCCACTCATAAAGGATCGAAAGATTTTAAGTACTGGGACCGAATAGATTAACATTAACTCTGACATAGAATCGCGCGTTTGGCGTTCATCACTTGTTCAGAATGTGGAAATTTTGTTTCTCTAATTTTTGTGCTATTTTCACATTTCTTGATCGGTGTGAGAAAAATGTTTCTCCTCACTAGTGAAATATCTGTTCTCGGCAAATGATTGGTCGAAATTTAATTATGACGTTAAATTTTCTTGGTTTCTTCTGAATTTCCTATTGTGACGTCATGAAAAAAGGCGACCATGCCTGATGACGTCACATATAAAGAACACAATTTTCTGCAAATCTTTGAAAAAAGAATGATAAAAATCATTAGAGAAACAGATTCCACCACTATAGCTCGTGTATTACTATATTTCTCTACTCTCAACAGTTAAATTTTAATTATTTAAAAAGCTCGGCAAGCCTCGCGCTTTAAATATTAAAATTTAACTATCTCGAGTGGAGAAATATCGTAACACACTTGTTGCAGTGGTGAAATCTATATGCAACTGTCATACAAAACAAGTAAAATAGCAAACAACAAACTAAATCCGAGGAACATTCAAAACAGAAAGTCCTTTATCAATTGGCAAAATCAAAACCTCAAACACATCAAACAATCGATTCCTGGCTTGCTACAGGTATTTTCTTTTGAAGAAAATGGTGGGTTAAACCCGATTTTATAGCTAGCTAAATCTCTCATTTGGATGTTTTCTATTCGTTTGGTGTGTTTGAGCTTTTGATGTTGACATTTGATTAAGGACTTTCCGTTTTGAATTTTCGATATTTTTGCTATTTTACCTTTTTTGTATGACAGTAGCATAGAATTCCATTATATTGACAATAATATGTGAACAAACCAAACAGACATGATAATAGGTAAAATGTCAAAAATTGGGGTACAGCAGTCAACATTGTGTTATAATCTTAATCACTATAAAACATAATTAAAAAAAAATGGCATATAGAAAAAGCACATAAGCAAAATTGAAAGCCAAGAATACAAGAAATGGCCATAGCACAATATTACAATGGCGTGATTTATTAATACCGAGCCACGCCAAAAAAAAAAAAAAAAAAAAATTCTTGAACAATTTTGCAGGTTCAACCAATCAGAATTCGTTTCTACTTATTAATCCATGGTAACGCAAAAATTAAAATTACCACGTGTTAGGATTATCCCCTATATCGCTCGGAGAAGTTTTATGTAAAAGCTTAATTGAAACTAATGTAGACATTCTGATTAACAAAGAAATTACTTCTATTTGAACAAAAGAGTGTAAGAGGATCTTATGTAATAAAATCTGTCACTTAAGATTTGACAAAGAGAAAAGTGTGTTCTTAATTGAACACCGGTTTCTTATGTCCTTAAGAATTTCTAAATATAACCAAGAATAAATAAAGTGTCCATTTGTAACAAAACGTCAAAATGTTTTTCATTAAAAATAAAATTATTGCAATAAAAAAATTCAAATATAAAAATAAGGCTTTTCTTAATAAAAATTCAAATAAGAATTTTTATCCATTTTTACAACATGACAACTCTCCCAACATCCCTCTAGCTTCGGACCCCGAAGCTGTATAAATTTTGACATCAACATCTACATTTGACATAAACTTTTCTCAATTTTTATAATCTTGCATATTAATTTTGAAAAAAAAATCTATCATCCGGACGAACCTCTACTTCGTAAACGTAATTGAGAACCATTTACACGAAAATAAAAACCAAGTAATAAAAAAAAATAAAACATCGTCTATTTAATGCTAGGTTTTGGTCCGTTGAGGTTCGAAATTCATCTAAGGCAGGCCCCCTATAACCTACTTAAAATTTCAACCCGGACAGAATACCGTTCGCACTTTCAATAGAACAATATCTTGGTCAAAGTTATCAGAATGCCTTCCTTAGCTTTGGATAACCTGTCAATTGCCTTAATTAGCTTTGTGACAAATACCAACGATATCCAGTTTTCTGTTTTCGTAGATTACAAGGTGCGTGATCATGCGTTTTAAATCGCTCGTCTTCATGAATTAAAAATAAAAAATTATGTTGCTTACAAATTTATATTGATTTTGACTGAGCTTTAAATTTTTTTGTAGTTGTACAGACTACGTTTAGCACTATAAACATCAAGAAAAAGAAACAATAGACCGGCTATTGGACTTCAACTAGATACGAAATCGTTCAATCAAAAGCAATAAAATATGCAAGTGTAAAATAAAATGTAAATTAGAAAGCAAATGTAATATAAGTTCAAACAGAAGTTCAATACAAGTGTCAGTAATTTCAAATAGAATATCATTTCACAAATGAATTCCAACCGTCTTCTCTGCATACAATACATCACATCCATGGTAGAAATCCACCATACTGCGAATACAAGTGGTCACATCCACTTTAGAAATAAATCAAAAGCGGTAAATCTTATGTTCTTCCTAGTCATGGTCGAGGAATGTCATGTTGTTTCGATATTCTTCATAAGTCGCTGTTCGTTGATCGTATTTATGGTCGCTTCGTCAAAAGGTATGTCCATATTGAATAAGTGATTCTGGAAACAAATTTCGGATAACTGGTATAACGTTCTTCTATGGGGACACTCAGCTTGGCAGCGAAAGGTAAACACAGGATCGGCACTCATCCTCCGCCATTTGACGTGACTAGAATTTCTCCAACATCGGAGATAAATAACATTGTTTTACAATCCAAATGATTTAGGCCCAATTTCATATGACAAAGGGTCCATACTGGAAAGTTGTTGTAAATCAATACACGAGACTGGATACATGAACGTTCACATACTTTATTTTTCCATCCAACATATTTACAGTCAGTTCATTAAACATATTTACAAAACAGTAATCATGGCAACATACATTAACCCGCCGCTAATCGCAGATCGAGAGCGGGGCGAACCAATGCGTCACATGGTTCTCTCTCTTTTCTCTCTCCTATGTTTTCAAAATTAACCTTTATAAAACATGATCATAGAAACGTTTTGACCAATGAAAATAGAAAAGGGTACTTCTAAACAAATAGTTTCCAAACAATTAAATATATCAAAAGCAGATTGAATTAAGACTTAGTGTTAATTGACATTATTCACTCTATATAAAGTTTGGGTGTTGACAAATAAATTACATTGATGACCATTGTTGTCAAAAAGTATTCTCACGACATAATCTTAATCTTAATCCATAAATATTTCCAAGTAACGCTAAAAGTAGTAAAACGGCTTATAAATGTCTTTTATGAAATTATTTGAAAAATAGTTCAAAATCTTGTTTCCCTAACAAAATGCACTTCTTCCGTATATTGAAACCTAATTACTCATAAGAAATAATGACTTTTGATACCAAACACGACATAAAAAGATGAAAATGCTAAAATTCACAATTTCCCGCATTTTTACAACATGACAAAAGCACGAGACGTTCTTTGACATAATCCTGGTTCATCAACTTTCTGCCCAGACACTGGTAAAGTTTTATGACGTATTTGTAGCAGCTGCAAGCTCTTGAATACAGAATGAGTTTGGAAATGTATATTCCACATTAGTGAAGTTGGTTCATTGCTATTAAGGTGGGGGAAATTAGTAATTTCAAAATTAAAATTATCTCGTTTGTCATAGATTTTTAGTACTTAGATGACCGCTTATATCAAAGTCGAGGTATAAGTCTAAAAATGAGGTGTAGGAAGCCTTGTCTGTTGTTTCTTTAATTTCTAGTTATATATATTAATGGAACCCAATTAAAACAAATTTGGATTGTTCATTGAAAGAACGCCGTGTCATGTTTTATAAAATCACATATCATCTCATCACAATCACAAAAACAGACAGACTAATACAACCGCTCATGACAGTCCCGAAACATGCACATACTATCATACCAAATTCCATCCTGCAGAACACAAATACGCTAACAATCATTTTGTCCATGAACAATTAAAAACTGGAACAGCCTTCTTCTGAGTTTTTTAATGAGCGACTCTATAGAGTCGTTCAAACCAGCCATCTCAACCTACACCTACAGTCAGTAAACTCATCATGTGTAAAACGTTTGATCTTAATATTAAAAATGAATAAAATAAAAATATTCAATACCACTATGTAAAAATGTTATTATCAATTTTGTTGATAATTATA